CACACACACACACACACACACACACACACACACACACACCTGGCTACATACATTACAGTAATATCCCACATCACCATGACTGTAAGACATGCTCTTGGAGTGTTGACATTTATATAGAGCTGTAGTGACTGTAAAAGTTACCCGTAGCTCAGAATCAGCCACAGTTATGTACTAACTTAGGTATGTACTAAGCTCAGTTCCCCTCGATATCAAATATATTTCATGCCTATAATGTATCATCTAGCCACGATTAGCTGAGAAACTGCTAATGTTGTTTCTATGCAGTTCCACGGTTCGGGATTCAGATCTGTACCAGAGATTTAATGTTCCTGGAATAAAGTCTTTGAAGTCACTCTTAAATAATGACTCAAAGACCCACATATATGTATATTGTCCAGTCCAGAGTGACCTACTGTGTATTAATATTCTGCTTTCTTCAAGCCTCACTCTGCGAGTCATGTGATAGGTGGGCAGCTGTCTTCCTGCATTATGCTGTACACCTGCTGGAATACGCTCCTGCTCACTGCGACCCCTAGTGGATACAATGGTTGGTGACAATGAACGGTAGATGGAACCAAGCTACGTTTGATTCATATACGTTAACACAAGGGGGCACCATTGTAAATCTTTTCCGTAGCCCAGGCAAATCAAAAAAAGTGCCGAACGACTTAGTAACCTGATATCAATTTACCGTAGCGTTCAAGTATTGTGACGACATTTCAACCGTCACAAAATGGCCAAAATCCATGATCAAAATTTTATATGCTTCTTGGACTTCAAAATGAAAATATCTGCCACTTTCTATTCAACCAATACGTACATCTTGTACAGCAATATAAAACCAGAAAATCATTTAATTTAATTAGCTTCATGCCACCAATATAGAGTCGATGAAGAAAAATTGCAGATTTGAATACAGGAAGAATATATTTCAAATTTTATTACAACATTTCTCTAGGAAAAAAAAATGTTACAGTAATAGTGCAACTGTAGGTTGTGTTGCCACAAAAAGGCTTTTTGGGCATTGTCTGCCTCACTTGATTAGATATTGGAGCACTTTGCATCTGGAAGCCTTTCTGAAGGCCAGAGGTCTGCCTGTGTTAGTGGGGTTGGAGCTTGTGGCTAATTGCTCTGATCGCTAAGGAGATACCAGACCATCAGTCCACGGGCGATACCAGCCCCATTACCAAACGCTGCCCGACCCATCCTATGGGATGTTCTACTGTGGAGGACTCCCCCCCCCCCGGGCCATGCAGAACTTCACTAAGAGGAATGAGATCACTCCAGATTAATGTGAATCTCTGCGATAAAAATGGTATACAGTACGGTCATTAGCATACCAACAGAGGTGTGCTGAATGGATGTGGGCAGGTTATTGACTTACGGCGAAGATTTACAGTAGATTTGAAACGTGAGCCTTTCGCATAATATATTGTGGCCTTCCGGTCTCAGTGCATGTAGGATTATTGTGTTTAACAGACAGCACACTTACAGTCCCTTTTACTGTCTTCTCTCCATAAGAAACACTTCAACATCAGTTCCCCTGGACAGATGATGCCTATAGATTGATCCACCCATATATATGTGGAACTTCCCTTAATCTAAGGTAATCTAAGGGGGGGGGACCTCGCTGCATCACTTCTAAGAATGACGGATCCTTGTCATACACATAGAGGCTCGTACTGAGGCCCAGATTCTCTCAAGTGGGAGTGGATGACGTTGCAGTGTGTTGGGGATACCAAGGAATGCAAGACTGACCCCATTCAACAATTATCCCTGATCTCCCCTATAGAACTACACAGAGAGGAACTACGGGTAACTGTGGCTGATTCTGAGCTACGGGTAACTGTGGCTGATTCTGAGCTACGGGTAACTGTGGCTGATTCTGAGCTACGGGTAACTGTGGCTGATTCTGAGCTACGAGTAACTTTTACAGTCACTACAGCTCTATATAAATGTCAACACTCCAAGAGCATGTCTTACAGTCATGGTGATGTGGGATATTACTGTAATGTATGTAGCCAGGAAAAAAATGTTTTCTAAATGTCTCCCATTGCTAATATAAAAACATACCTGTACTTAATCCATCAGAATGAGCTTTCTTTCACTAGATATCAACAAGACCTTATAAATACACTGTGAAAGCTTATCCATACAAGGAAACAAAGGAGATGAGTTAGAAATAATAGCAATACATGTCTGAAATCAGTCAGAAAGCCATAATCAGCTAGTGCAGTGACTCCCAGTCTGGTCCTTGGGGACCCCCAGACAGTCCCAACTCCTGGAAAGGGAGCAAAAATGTGGACTGTCTGACAAGGAGCTAGAAGGGAGCAAAAATGTGGACTGTCTGACAAGGAGGAAAAATGTGGACTGTCTGGCAATGAACTGGGAGGGAGCAAAAATGTGGACTGTCTGGGGGTCCCCGATGACTGGATTAGGAAATATTGAGCTGGTGTTTTTAAATATATGTTGGACATAAAACAAGGGAGAGTGCTCACGATATTATTAATGCCCAGTAGTGGTTGATTAAGAGTGTTTGTAGAGTAAGACTGTGGCTAAAGGAAATCCATTACTACACAGAATGTAGTTAACCTGGACCGGACTGTAAATGTGCTTGCTTTGCAAATCACTTTCAAGATGGTTTTAGACAGGTTGTGCTATTACAGCAGTGCAGCAAAGCATGCAATGCATCCAAGTCCATATGTAAGTCATCTAAAGGCATTCTGCCTAAGGCCACCTTGAAACGGGTTCTGCAGACTACCATCGTGGAACCGGCTTTGCTCGGACAAACGTAAGATTGACGCCTTTATAGAATGTCACACTCTCACATATAGACTATGATCTTGAATTATCCTAGGCTCAAGCCAACACAAAATGAATGATGTTTTACACTGTCCATTCATGCCATTTTGCAATCTAAGTATAGTTTGGAACTATGCCTATCATAACGACCACAACCTACACAATCCATTATGTGGTTTATTGTAATTTTTTGTTTTTCGTCACAGACGGGTTACAGAATTTAAATCATAAATGATATCAACTAAGTGACTTGATAATAATAAAATTATATATATTGCTAAACATTGTTCAAAACTGAAAGAAGCGTTTTCTACACTCAGGTAATTTCAATATTTACTATCGAATATAAAAGGATAGGCCTAAATGTGTCAATGTTTAAAATGAAAATGAGTAAATACAAAATTGCTTAATAAGTGATTCACTCACGTTACTTCAGCGTGTTTATTATGCATAATAGCGCTATATTACGTGTTTATTTAGAAATCATATTCTTAAGAATTGCCTGGTCATTATGGACACAAACTTATAACACGCCCGAATCTGCATGGTTTAAGGACACCGTCAGCAAGTGACTCAAACGATGACAAATGGGTAAAAACTGTTGAAGTCTACACAGAAGTATCATCTAAGCTCTGGTTATTCAGTTTGATAAAGACACGGAATATACCTCCTACGAGACAGGAAAATTTATATATAATTTATTAAAAGTGGCGCATATCTGGAAATCGAATTAATCCTTATTAACATTTATTCAGTATAAACGGCTGCATAATGTGTTTAAACAATTTGTTTATTCGAAGAAAACTTCTATTCTGTTAAATTACTTGAGGTTTTCCTGCGCGGTCACAAACGTGTACATTTAAAATATATAGTTTAGCACTTGTTTATTGCACCCAAAGAAACCTTTCTGGTTAGTCAGCGTTAACTATCCCAAGCTGCTTCCGAACCAGTCTTCTGCCACTCTTGACTAGTGTCAAACGTGAAAACAGCATTTGCGCCATAACTATGTGCAAGTCAAGGAACGATCAATGTGCGATCAGTATGGTTCCCATCAAATTAATATATAAACCGATGTGCTGTAGTTACGACGTTTCACGTGCACTGGGAACATGCAAACTACCCAAGTGAGGATTTCCCTCAAAATAAAAGGAGTCCTTCTGATGTAATTTAGCCAAACCTCCTTGTGAAAATGGTCAGAAAAGGTACGCAGAAAATCAAAATCACATTCCACTGGAAGGCAAGTTGAATATTTACTTCCAGTGCACACAAACAATGCATGACGTGCCTGTCAATAAACGAAAGGCAGTAAAGCATTCGTGGTTTTTTTTTTAAATACTGGCGATGGTGCCATTGCATCTATGCATTCTGGCAAAGGATCGAAGCTGCTTAAATGCACGGATCGGCTGTGATGCACATTTTAAAGGCATCACAGACTCCGCTTTGTGAATATGCAGATCGGCGTGTATGTGTGCGGCTGTGGATGTGAAGGGAGCCGTCCTACCCTGAGGCAGCCTGTGTGACTGAGGGAGGGAGGGAGGGAGGGAGCGAGGCAGGCAGGAAGGAAGGCAAGGCATTGAATGCTAACAAGGAGAGTTAAGGTTCAAGCAGTGCTAAAAGGTGGGGGGTGGGTTTAACACCGAGCAATGGAGAAGTACAATTAACCTGGTATGTGCCAGATCGCAATTTACGCCGGTCGTCATCATCATCATCATCATCATCATCGGTACAACCATCTTCAACTTTCCCGTTGAGTGAAATGTATCGAGGCTGAATGGGATCCAAAAACTGACGATGGAGATTGAAAATATCGTGGCCAACACTGTGCTACTGAAAGCCCGAGAAGGTAAGCGATATGGGCAGAAAGGGGGGAAGAAAGAGGGGAGGGGGGGGGATGAAGGAAGCCGGAGCGTTACAATGTGTCGATCGTGTCTTTCCTATAATACACACATCCTGCGCAGCGCTGGTCGGCGAGCCTCGCATTAAAAGCCCTGACATCCGCGTCGCGACCAGCCCGATCGCGCTCAATACGATTTTTAACTAATTGTCATCAGATCAGAGGAGGCGTTTAAATGGCAAATGCGGACGATCCCTTCTGTACATAACAGGATCGGCACGAATGCGTCTGTAGTTTTCGGTCTGCTTTCTGTATAAGAGCTGTATAGGGCTTAGGCCGTCTATGAAATTCAGATTTACTCAGTTTCTGCATCACTCTGAACATCGGATTTGGATCTGGCGTCCAAAGCAAACACGTTAATAGCCTATATGTACAATACGTTACAGCACTGGGTATTATTGTCTCCTGCCTCTATGGCTGTTTTATAAGAGCGAGATAATGCATCGAGGATCCTCGCTAATTTACCCCGAATAAGGGAGCCTTGTGCCATTATTTGCCGCAGAAATATCAATCCCACGGCATTGCCATCCATAGGGGAGCGGGACCGACCCTTGTTTTCAGCGAAGGCAGTTTAATATTTGCATTTAGGCCTCGTAAAGACTGACTGAGGCGAAATTGCACATAGTATATCCCAGCTTGGCTCTCTTTACCTGGGGTCGGGGTACAACTGCGGGCCCAGGCTTCTGCTTTGCCGGTCGGCTAGTGAAAATAAATGAGGATCGGAAGGTTATAATGGCATTTCGGGTAACTAAAAGCAGCCCAGCGCTGCTGCCTTGGCGGTGGCTGTGCGGCATCCCTGCACGATATCGGCTCCGTAGCGCTGTCGGGGAGACTGAGCGGCTGTGTGTTTCTGGCTTAATAAAAAGAAGGATCGAGCTTCATCCCGTCCTGGAACCAATTAAGATAAATTATTCAGAGTTATTTGTAATCATGCATGAGTGAAGAAGAGGCTTAAGTTTGCGATCACCCACTTACAATGTAGTCACGAAACGGATGGTGTAAGATCCTGCGTACTATATGGAATATAACACTATAGAAGTTGCTTAATCACTAAAATGAATCGTCTGGTGTGATAGACATAAAGACAACATGTATGTAAAATGTATGTAAAATGTAAACAAAGGTATGTAAAGACAACATAGCAATACTATATACCTTACACCGTTATAATTCTGTTCATTTATAGGTATGAAAGTACAGTGAGCTGAAGTTTACATTTAAGGGTGTTTTGGAAAGTTTACAATCTGTAATCTGGGAAATGCACTTAGCGTTTTCTTTATCAGATTTTTTTTTTTTTGCAATTTGCAAGTATTAGAAAGATTGTAACAAATACGGCAGATACTTATATGTATTCTATATGTGTACAGACTTCTTGTTTCTACATGCCAATGCAAAAAAGAAACTTTTATCGCCATCATGTGGTAATTGTGCACCAGCGACGTCCTGACGTATTAAAACAAAATTTATAAATCCGTTTTCTTGAAGCGTTCATTCACTGGCGGGGTGAAAACAGACATGAAACAGTGATTATTAGCTGCATGGTATTTCAGGTCGGGGGCGGGAGGTGGGTGGATTGGTGGTTATGCTTTCATGCAACAAGTGCAATTTAAAAACCCTTTACAGGCAGCGCTAGAGATGGTGTCCAGGCCATTGCAAGTTGTTGGGATCCCAGGGCGCCTAATTTGATTTATTTACTCTCCAACTTATTTTTTTATCTAATGTTTACTTCGTTAAAATTCTGCATTTAGTGGAACTGTAAAGGAGAACTTTAACTTGAAGTCCGTTTGATTGCAGTCGCTGAGGTAACTTTATTTGCATGCTGCATCGATATGCAAAGGCACCTGTCATTTCTGGCACCATCAGTCAAGCAAAGGAATTTTTTTTTGTGGTAAAACTTGTAATTGCAGTAGTATCAAGGGAGCCTGTTGCATTTTTGTCTAGATAAGAGGACTTGTACCACAGTGGCAATGTGCTTCCACCACAGATGTCACAACGTGATTGTAAGATTGGACTGGTGAAGTATTCTGCAAAGACCATTCATTTTTATATGCATTGCTCAATTTCTAGACACATTAAGTTGCAAAAAAACAAATATAAATAAGTAAATTGAGTGCTTGAAGTGGACCAGGACTCACCAGTACGCAGTACCAGCACCTATTTGATTTTCACTTCAGAGTCCCAGCACCTCTCTGTGTCTGCTGGTATCGAATAGCCAGGGAAGTACTCATACCTGGTACTGAATAACATGGAGAGTACCAACACCTCTTTTCCCACAGTTCAAGTACTGAGTAAATCCTAATGACTACGATATTATAAGTAGAAGACTGTAGGAATGGTATTAACCTTTAAGCTTAACGGTACTGGGTGTTTGTGAACTGGAATCCCAAACCGGGTCTGCTTTTCGATGTTTCCGTTCTATCTGAAGAACACTATTTTCGCCACAGCTCAAAAATGAAAATGTCGGTAAGGCTTTCTGCGAATACTCTTGTGAAAAGTTTGGGAATCTATTAATACTTGAATGTATAGATTTTCCCAGATGATTCTTTAATCAACTGTCTCAGGAGCTACGCTTGTCCTGCGTGGCCTTTTACGGCTCCCTTCCGCCACCGTGGCCCTGCACGTGGCATGTAGGTTCTGAAGCATTGCTGAGCTTCTCTGAAGCATGCATGAGCTGCGACGCTGCCCTCAACCCTGGCAATGTTTCCTGCATGGGGATGCGGGATGAGGGTTTGGTGAGAGCAGAGAGCTCGAAGTTGCAGGAGTTCGGAGGGTTAAAGAGGGAAACGGCGAGAGAGGAGAGCGCATGGAGCAACGTGTCGGGTGCCCTGCAGAAAGGCTCTTATTAGGTGAAGGTGGGGTCACTTTTAGGGGGGACTTGGGGGTGTGTAGGGGAGCCAGTGGCATGGAGGAGACACCCCGTCATAGAAAACACTGTGCAAGGACCTTACTCCATCCCGGGGGTGTGGCGGATCGACTGATACCCCTCCGGGGGACAGCATATGAAATAAGATTTTGATTCAGGATCCAGAATAACATATCGACATACATTTTAAATGTCTGTTGCGTTCCACTGTTTTGTGCTACTTAAAAAATGTCTGTAGAGTTTGCAGCTCAGTGGAATTAAATCCGTTATTTGATCCGATAATAAGAATAATAACAATAAATTTATTTGTACTCAATTGCAAATTCCCCCTGCTCGATATTTCTTTGCAATTAAATATTTACTATGTTGCATCTGAAAAGTCTTGCAGATCTGGTTGTTTTTGTCCTGCATCAGAAAAGCTACAGGTTTCGAAGGGGGGGCGACGTTAAACTCTCAGCCGTTGGGAAACGTGGGGGTGTGTGGCGACTAAGGACTTGGGCCCGAGTGCAGGATATGAAAACTCCTGTATTTTGTCCTGTTTTTTAGTGCATAGGTAGTTCTGCAGCAGATACTAGATAAAACACCAACTTAAAGCTAGTGATTTCTATAAATTATGTTGCAGAAATGGACGCGGGGTGTGATTGTGTATTCTGGTATGATAACTTTAATTTAGAGCTTCTAAAAATTGATTATGAGGCACACATTATGGTTTGATGGTACAGTGGTGCCTCACACCATCTGGGCTTGGGTTTTCAAGTTTGCATGTTTCCTGTGAATCATGCAGATGTTCTCCTGCGGTCCAAAGATGTGTCGTTTGGGGAACTGGTGTTTCGGAATTGTGGTACAGTCGTGATACTGGTGTGATGCAGTAGTAACTCAATCAGAGGGTACTTTGCATTTCCCAGGATGCTCCAGGCTCCTCCATCCCATGAGGCCGTGCTGCATCAGCAGAGAGTTTTGATGCACAAACCTATTGGTGCCCTTTGGGATCCACAGCAGACCTCAGTAATGCAGGAACCACGCTCAGATTCTGCACTTCGGGATCTCGAACCTGCAGCCCTGTGCACTCAAGCGTTGGGTAAAATCGTGGTGATCAACGCACGGCCGCCTAGATCAGTGACCCGGAATGTTCTCAGGCGTGGTAAACATCGCCCCATAGCCACAGTTGGTACTGTTGTGAAAGATGGGTGTCAGAGATACAAAAGGCCCCCCTCCCCAGTTAACAGGAGTGCTGGGGGCAGCCATATTCTCATATCCTTTTCTTTACGATGGGGGGTGCTCTCTGTCATACAGGATGAGCCTGCGCATTCTTCAAGTAATTTGTGAGTAACATTGTGGGAGACAAATTTTTTTTTATTAGGAATCTGTTATTCATTGGAAGTTTTTTTTCTCATAAAAATGAAAATTTATTGATTTTTTTTCTGGTTATTATACAATTTTTGTCTTATTTTTATAGCATGACAAAAGACTCATGAGATATGGACTACAAACCAAGACTGCGCAGGGGAGCGCAAAAATCACACTTGGAATGTCATTTTTATGAAACCATTAAATAAATACATAAGCAGCAGGTTTTTTGCACGCAGGCTGGAAAAAAAATCGGACATCAAAAGAATTTTTGTTTCTCCTCGGACTTCCAAGACAAGCAGGGACCCGACACAAGCTGACACGGGGCGAAAGCTACGAAGCGGCGTGCCGTCTCTGCGCTCACGACGCACGAGCGCGGCCTCGCTTGTCTGCCTGAATGGGGTGTTGTTTTCCGCTCGCGATTGACCATTTTAGGGTGCTTAGCATGGAGCCCGGAAGTCTTGGATGGAAGCTCGTGTGTAAACGCGGCAGACGGCTGGTATCTCTGCTCCGCACGCCCCCTGTGGTGGTTGGGTACGCACGCCGCTGGAGGGAGAGATGAGAATTGAAAGAGGAGCTGTGGTTTCTCGGCAGATGAACTGAGTACTACTGTGAGGTGTGGCCCTCTTTGCGTTGTGATCTTCACATGCATTTTTGAATATATCCCCCCCCCCGAACTCTCCCTAATCTTGGTAACAGTCATTTGGTTCCTCTTTACAGTTAATGGGTGGGGGTGGAT